ATTTCTATGGGAAATTTGGATTCAACTTGCAAACTTTTCAACTAGTTCTGGGCATCTAATAGAGAATGTATTTCCAAAGGGTGTTGTAGCAAGGAAACTAACTGTGCCTCGTGACTTCTAACTGGATTATAGTACCTGCTTCCTGATTTCAGCTACTATAGTTTGTATTCAGTTTTTTTGGCTGGTCAAGAACATTGTTCCTGGCTTTGTGTGTTGTGCCTTGTATGCTATAAACATTCAATTATGTCAGAAAATGGAGATTTGGTCTTATGCTGAGCATGTGCTACTGCTGGTGAATGGGATCAGGTTAAGCTTTGTGTTGCTGTTCTTTTGCATAACCTAAAGTAAATAAGGAAAACCAGCTGTTAAATAGTTTAATTCCACTATTTATCCTCCACACAACTAAAAGGGACCTCTCAATGCAGTGCCCAATCAGACAAAACATTTCTAATTTAATATAGGATTGAGCTGTAGATGGGCAGAGTTGCACAACAATCCCATCTGTCATTTCTATAAGCATGGGCAGGAGGTGGATGAAAGGAAATGTAAAATATAGGTAGCGTGGTATAGGTCTTATCACTGGCTGATAATGGTCTATATGTACTTGAATTAAATTTATGGTACATGAGTACACAAAGCTTTAAGTCTCTCCATTTGTTAATGACAGTGGTAATGGTTGTTAATGCCACTGTTGACTGCTGTTCACTTTACATGGTTCAAATGTTATTCTGTTATAGTGTATTAAATATTTTATTACACTATTTGGTTCAGAATATATTTTCCCTGTTTAACCCCTCTAAAAATTATGTGCGTCTTAAGATCCGGAGCATCTTATGGAGCAAAAAATACGGTAATTTGCTACAGTTAACGAACTAGAACAAAAATAAAAGACATACATATTTAAAGATCTATATGTATAAGACTTACAGATCAATAATTCATAGAGTCACCATACCTTGGAAGCAAACTGATGGCAAATAATAACAATAGTAGGAGACTAGATTTTTGAATACCTTCCAATGTCACAAACTCTTTGCCTTTTGAAAGACAATGTGTTCGGAAGAAAAGGAAGAAATTATTCTGAATTTGTTTTTACCTTGAAGTGATCGTTTGAAACATAATTTGCTATAATTTATTGAAAATTCAGTATCATATGTTTATACCATTCATTTATTATCTGTGCTATTAATTTAATCTTCAAATATTTTGCTTCCTTTCTGTTTTTCTTTCCGTCTCTGAATAGGAAGCATTTTGCTGATTTAATTTTATTATTCACTTTCTGTAAGGAATTAAGATAAATCTGGAGGTGACTTAAAGTTGATAAAATTATGTCTTCTAGAACAGCACAACCAGAAATTTTACAAATATTAAAAGTGAAGCAAAATTTCTCATCCCCTCTGGCACTAAACAGTGCATTATGTACTTCACAGTAGGGGAATATTTGAAAAGGGAATTTTAGAAGAGTTAGCAGTGTTCGTCACTGCTAGCATGTCAAGCAAAAACAAAACAAAAATAAAGACAAAAATGTTGTGGCACCTTAAAGACTGACTGCTATATTTTAATGTGAGCTTGTGAACAGAGCTTTTGTCTTCTTGTCCAGGAAGGCTCACATTAGAATATAGAAGTTAGTCTTTATGGTGTCACAACATTTTTTTGGTCTTCTTTATTTTTTTGTTCTGCCTGACATGAAAAGGGAATAAATCAATTCTAAAATATTTTCAGTATCAAATTTGGTGGTATTTATTGCCTATTACAGATTTTTTGAAACAACACCACTAGGAAGCATCTTGAACAGATTTTCAGCGGACTGCAACACTATTGACCAGGTACATTTTGAATATAATCACTGAAGTTTTTATTTTGTTTTAATTTTGAAAGTAAGGGAGGGATCATTTTCAATGCAAAAAATAATCTGAATGCAAACCATTCAAATTATATTTTGGCAAAATCAGTAATGCGTACCTGAAACAATGTGAAACTATTTTCAGTTATTCATAGTAATGCTCTCAGAATATCTACATGGCTGGATTCTCATTAGTTGACTTTTAGAAGAGGGCTGGATAACTTAGGTTGTGGAAGGGTTGAATGTGTTGGCGGCTTGGAGGAAGAGACAGATACACACCTCGCAAAAAGCACCAGTCCTGTTAGACTCCAAGAGTCATCATGGCAGTTGCATGGGGCCTGGAGGTGTAGGAAAATGTAGGGTTTTTTTTTAAACGGTACCGTATAGGCATCTGCAGAGCTCTGTGGGGACCATGTGTGGAAAAATACTCATGAGCTACATGTGACCCCATGAAATGTATTTTGCTCAGCCTTGCACTAGAATAATAAAAAAAATCCATTCTTAGTCACGTTGTAATCTGTCTGAACTCTCCAAAGGCATTAGAAGTTATGCTCACTGTTCAACTTACAGTATCCTCAATCCTATTTGAATAGAATTTTGCCATTAATTAAGCCAACATTAAGCCAATGTTGTCTTAGACCTGCATGAAGCAATTGTTAAACATTGCATTTGGTGGACTGACATACAGATTAGACTCTACTTAAGCAAGGAAACAAAAGATACAAAGTTCTACCAGATTTCAACACATTTCATTGAAAATGACCCATTCAAAACTACATGTGAGTTCACTGTGAAAGAGGGAAAAGGAAAATGAATTACTAATTTTATTTTAGCTTTGATTTACCTGTATTACAGCTAATACTTCTCATTTGCTTTATTCAATGTGTTTACCTGCTTAGCACATCCCTGCCACCCTGGAGTGTCTGAGCCGTTCCACCCTGCTCTGTTTATCAGCTCTTGCTGTAATTTCCTACGTAACACCTGTGTTTCTAGTGGCTCTAGTCCCTCTTGCTGTTATATGCTATTTCATCCAGAAATACTTTAGAGTAGCATCAAGGTAAGTACTTCACAAATATATTGCAGTTTTGGTCTGTTTGCATGTAGATTTGCATGGATGCATATATAACAAACTGGGCAGCTCAGTGAGTTAGGCATCTAGGTTGGACATTTGATTCCCTACAGTGCCTCCTAGGAAAACAGCCTGTTTAGCCTTGGGCAAGCTGCACAAAGCACTCCCAGAAGATGGCAATGATAAACTACTTCTGTATATTCTGTACCTAGAAAACCCTGGAACAGGTTGCCGTGATTCAGAATCAATTTGATGGCATGTTGTTGTTGTTGTTGTTGCTATTATATGTACAATAATATACAAACACAAATAAAAATGCTGTCACAATTAACCTAGCTATAAACTAATGAATTTCCTTTTCCTGCGAGTACATTATTTTTTACTGTTGTATCATTTTATTTCTTTATCTATTAAATTTATATCCTGTCTTTCTAACAGCACTGCCTATGAAGAAAGATTAACAATAAACTTCAAATTAAAAAAATACAGTTTCAAGATAAATACAGGTTAAAAAATACAATTAAAGACATATCAATAAAAATAAATGAGCATGCATGTATCTATTTTATTGACTTAGATTTATCATTTCCAAAAATACTGTACAACATTTTAAAATTTCAGATATTTCGAGGGGAAGTGCTATTCTATCTGCTTTTTTCCAAACAGCTTTTCCTTCATCACCCATGGTTTTTTTTTCCACCCAGGGATCTGCAGCAGTTGGATGACAGTACTCAGCTTCCATTACTTTCTCACTTCTCAGAGACTGTGGAAGGTCTAACAACTATACGAGCATTCAGGTATCTGAAGTTGCTAGTTATGTTCTAAATCAGAGGTGGATATCTTTAACAGATGTGTCAGCTGTGTTGTGGGAGTTGATATAATGCTGATTCCACGTTGGCAATTATATCTTCCACAGGAATTTTGCTGAGGTTTCTCCTGGGGAGAGTTGGCGTCCCGATAGGTTGATGATGATGCGCGTGGTATCTAGTGTAGGTTTCTGTTGGCTTGTTTGGCATTTGTTGAATTTCCGTTTTTGTCTGTCTGTGTGGTTCATCATTTCTTTTTCCATCTTATTGTACGAGAGAGTATCAATCTTGTCCCAGTCTTGACTTCTCATTTTTTGGCTGATAGTGATGTGTAGGCCTAGTAGTTCTTTGTCTGTGGCGTCCAGTTGTTTGTGGGTTGTGTGGATTCTTTCCCGTAGGAGGACATGTTCCAGATGATCGTAGATGCGGCTGGCCTGTGGGGAAAGGCTGGTCCTTTTTGTCCTGAGGAAGGCTGGTATGGTCTTTGTGTCTCTGCAGCGCAGTAGAAATGTTAAGGAACATAGTAGGTGTGCTCTTTTGCTTCGGAGTGTTTCCAGTCTCCGGGTCTGTCTGACTGTTTCCTCCCTGTAGAGGCGTTCAATGTATTCACGAAGGCTTTCACGGCCGGGATCTAATGGTTGTTGTGAGTTTTTCGGGCTTCTTGGCCGTGTTCTGAAGGTGGTTTTTCCTAACGTTGCGCCAGTCTCTGTGGCCGGCATCTTCTGAGGACAGCAAACTGTACTCTGGGGTAGTTTGGCTAGGGCGTGGAGAATTTATGGCTGTGAGTTGGGATGATTAGTGTGTATTGTTGTGGGTGTATTGTTGTGATAAGGAGATTATCTGTCACTGTGGTTGATGGTGGTGATCCCCTTGACCTTGTGGTTGGGTAGAGTTCGTGACCTTTTGCATGATGTATTTTTGAGAGCTGATTAATTTCTCTCTCTCTCTATTTTGTACATACAAAGTCCCAAGATCGATTTATTCTTCAGTCAAAACTATCAGGTAGATGGTGACAGAAAAGATGTTTGACTCAGACTGTGCCAGTTAGTAGTACAGTATAGGTGTACAAGGAAGCCCCCCCCAAAAAAAAAACCCACCCGAGAGCATTTGTTTGTTTTAAAAGTATCTGTTTTGAAACATGAAACTGGAATAATATAACTTCTAACTGGAGATGGGGATATTCGTATTGTATTCATATACGAATACCCCCCCACAGGTGGAGATAACGAGGGTCTGGCCTCCTGGGTCCAGACCGACCACTCACCCTTCTGTTGCTGCCGCGGGCTCTGCACTCCCTTCCTATCACTTCAGAGCTGGCAGTGGATTAGCCAATCCTGGCAGTAGGCAGGATGACGAGCCTCTCCGCCAGGTCGAAGAGTGGCTAATCCTTTTCTTCCACCCATTGAATGTTGGGAAAATTGATGGGGGAAATTTTCATTCAATAATATCAACCAGTCACAATCCCCAGTAGAGTGAAGCTGTAAAGGGTATTGTATTTGTTGGAACCCATTAGGAGTGTTCTTTCTTTGTTTCACTTTCAGTTCTTTGTGGGTGGGTGAGCTTCTGGCACCCTCCATCTTGTCTTGCCTGTTTAATGAAAGGAGTGGTACACAAAAGAAACCAAAACAGAATCAAATGGAAACTTTTTGCTGTGCACAACCTTACTGATACGCAACTGAGGTACCATAGATTTCAGACGTTGTATACTAAATATGGATAACTGTGAATGAAATGATCTTTCTGCGTAGAGCAATCTACCTATGGTACAAACTAATAACTTTTATCTGGCAACTAAACCACTGCAAACATAAGCAATATGCTTCATACCAAATTGTTAAAGACCAACTTCTTAGAGTCCATCTATTCTGAGCATTTTTCTTTGCACCTATGATACAGTTACTGCCTCCAAGTGATCAGACAATGCAAAGCCAAAACTAGTGTCAACAAAGTTAAGACAGGACCAAATAAAACATGTCTTCTGGTGATTTTTACACTACTGTTGCCTGATGGTGTGTTTTTGTTCAGATTGGTTCCAATGCACTATCTGCACATGTGGAACTCAGTGTTCTGTTGATGTGTGCTTTGTGGAGGTGTGTTATTTGATGACATTTCTTTCTGGTCATTTTTCTGCTAGTCATTTTCTATTCATCCAGTTTTGGAGGATCTTTCCAAAACTTACATTCAAGCTTTAGCCCCATAATGGCAGGGCAGCAAAAGAGAAAGAGACAAATTAAAAGTATAGTTGTCTATTTTCGGTACAATATTCCAATACGTACAAATATACCATTCTACAGTATTTATGTTGTGTTGCACTGAGTTATCATATCCTGCTAGGTATTTTCCGTTACATGGAAATACAACTGGGAGCAACCTAAGCAGCAAAATTAGTTCTATATTTATATTTTAATTACTATAATTATCACATATTTGTTAAGCTTCCTTGATCTGTTCTTATTAATTGGTATTTTTGCACATTCATTATCCCACCTGGCAAATTAAATCTACTTTTCCATTGTTTTTTTTAATCCCTGATTTACTTTTTTTTTTAATGTCCTCTCCTGGGAAGAACACAAAGTGCTCTTTATAATCCTTAGTGTAACATAGTGCAGAGCTTTTCTAGAATAAGTTATTTCTCATGCTGCCTCTTTTATTGCTTTTGTTAAGACATCCTCTCTAGATTTCAGTTTATAGTCATGAAATGAATTGCTGCCTGGAAGGCAAATTGAATTCAAACTAATTGATGGACTTCTGACCCAAAATGAAGTAGACATTTACCAGTTCCTGTATTTTATTTATTGTCAAGCTTCTACATAAAATGAAGTTATATTTAGATGCTTCTCTTTAGCTGCTTCATGTGCTGTAGAAAGGACATTTGACGTCTGGATTCTAATCACTAAAGCAAAGTACCCAGATCTTGAGTTGCTAAAATAACCCAGGAACATAATTATATTAAAGAGCTAGTTGGAATATTGTTATGGATCTTGATACGAAATTTGATCGTAGACAATTAGGTAAGGTAAGGTAAGTTTTATTATACAGTCATAGACTCAAAAATTCAAAGATAAAAACATAATATAAGGTGTACAGAGTAAGTAAGTTGTTAGAACATAATGATGGTATAGTAAGATGTACAGAGTCAGTAAGTTGTTAGAACATAATGATGGTATAAAACTTGAGTCAGGTGGTTGTCAATATAACATTTTATGAATTCTTAAAAATGAGAATAAAAACTTAGCCACCGACTGTGTTATTAATTGGTTCTCTCCCGACAGCAGAAACTTCAGGTAATCTGTGGAAGATATACTAGTACATTTACACATTATTGGGTGGAGATAACGGATACGTTCGAACCTATATAAGCTACATTCTAGAATGGTGTGTGTCAAGGACTCAACTGTTTCTTCCCGACAGGGGCATATCCTTTCTCCATACGGAATGTTATTAAAGCGCCCTTTTAGTAAGGGAGAGAGAAAGCAATTAAACCTAGCATATGAGAAGACAAAACAATACCTTGGTACTGTGATTTGATATAGGTAATTTGCTGACTTGGGAAAGTTAAAATTGAAACCAAAGTACATTTGTGAACAAGTCCTGTCTGCACATGCTAGTGGGTACTGGAGGTCTATATATTTAATGTGTTGTACAAGCATATCTATACAGTCAGCAAAAACAAGACCTGGAACTGATTATGGTTCTGATCATCAGCTTCTTATAGCAAAATTGAAGCTTAAACTGACTAGTCCAGGAAAAACCACTGGACTAGTCAGATGTAATCTTAAACCTAATACTCAACTACAGTATCCAACAAACAGTATGTACAGAGTTCCTGCTCCAGTCCTCTGAAGATGCCGGCCACAGAGACTGGCAAAACGTCAGGAAGAACAACCTTCAGAATATGGCCAAAGAGCCCAAAAAACCCACAACAACCATCAGATCCCGGCCGTGAAAGCTTTTGAGAATACATTAAACCAAATCCCTTATGAATACACAGTGGAAGGGAAGAACAGATTTAAGGAACTAGATTTGGTGGACAGAGTGCCTGAAGAACTATGGATGGAGGCTCATAACATTGTGCAGGAGGCAGCAACCAAAACCATCCCAAAGAAAAGGAAATGCAAAAAAGCAAAGTGGCTGTCCAAGAAGGCCTTACAAATAGCAGAGAAGAGAAGGGAAACAAAATGCAAGGGAGATAGGGAAAGTTACAGAAAATGGAATGCTGACTTCCAAAGAATAGCAAGGAGATACAAGAGGGCCTTCTTAAGTGAACAGTGCAAAGATACAGAGTTTAAGAAAATTGGAGCTATTAACAGAACGTTTTGTGCAAAGATGGACACGATAAAGGACAAAAATTGTAGGGACCTCACAGAAGCAGAAGACATCAAGAAGAGATGGCAAGAATACACAGAGGAATTATACCAGAAAGATCTGGATGTTCCAGAAAACCCAGATAGGGTGGCTGCTGACCTTGAGCCAGACATCCTGGAGAGCAAAGTTAAGTGAGTCTTAGAAAGCATGGCTAACAACAAGGCCAGTAGAGGTGATGGCATCCCAGTGGAACTATTTAAAATCTTAAAAGATGACACTGTTAAGGTGCTACACTTCATATGCCAGCAAGTTAGGAAAACTCAGCAGTGGCCAGAGGATTGGAAAAGATCAGTCTGCATCCCAATCCCAAAGAAGAGCAGTGCCAAAGAATGCTCCAACTACCGTACAATTGCACTCATTTTACATGCTAGCAAGGTTATACTCAAAATCCTACAAGGTAGGCTTCAGCAGTATATGGCCCGAGAACTCCAAGTACAAGCTGGATTCTGAAGGGGCAGAGGAACTAGAGACCAAATTGCTAACATGCGCTGGATTATGGAGAAAGCCAGAGAGTTCCAGAAAAACATCTACTTCTGCTTCATTGACTACACAAAAGCCTTTGACTGTGTTTGCCTCCTCCTCCTTTGTGTTCTGTTATCACTTTTGCTACTCTGAGGTTTGTCCTTTAGTGATCTGAAATTTCAGTATACTTGCATTTCTTTCTAAATTCAGTAACAGGAGTAATGGACATAGGAGTACATCTCAGCACCTGTTGCAGCACTGGGGGAAATAAAATTAAGTCAAGTATTTGATCAGGTGACTCATCAGTAAATAAAATAGGCTTTTCCATTCTCTGTAGATTCTCTATAGGTTCTGGTTGAAAATGCAAATTTCTTCATTGTTATATTGGTGAGAAGTAGAGAGTGGAAGTGTAGTATCAGTTAATGAAGCTAAAGGTCAGCAACTCAGAGTCCTATTATTAGTGTTTTAGTATTTTAGTATTTAGTGGTTTGTGGTTGGCCTCTGGTTAATTCTTTAAAATGTTCTTCAACAGATAGAGTTTAAAAACTGATAATGCACAGATAGTTCCTTAAGAGTCTCACATCAGAGTTTCTGGCAGGAATACTTAATAACAAGAAAAGACAATAATCATTAGCATTCCAGCAGCTGGCACCTTGACTTCTTGGCTCCTTGTCTGATGTTATCTTATGTATGTGAGAGAGAGTATATTGGCTGTAAAATACTGCTCAGTTCTCAGACGCTGGGTATACCCTTCAGCACAAACTCCTCTTCTCTTTTCTAAGTTTATTGTCAGCAGAGAACCTCTCTCATAAGAAGAAAATTCTCAAACGATTTACCTTTCATCACCAGCTATACTCTAAATTTCTTAAAGCTCTGTCTCAACACCACCAAACGCTGACTCCA